AAAGTTGTTTCATCATGAGAAAAAATGAAGCATAAGCTTCGCATCTATAACGGCGGTTGACATGAAACATCGAATCTACTTCAGTAAGTTAAGTTGTGAAATGTTTACATTTTGTGATGTCCTACATGAAACAAAGCAAAAAACGCAAACGAACTCTTGAGAGTGCGCAGTTAGTCGGACTGGAAATCATCTTTAATTACTTTGAAGGCAACTTTGGTGTTGAATTTTAACTTTAAAGCCTTCCAGTTCAAATCTTGCGTAGGTGTGAGTTTCGGGCACAAAAAAGCGGTACTAATAGTTTGCAGAATTTACATGTGACACTGTGAAGAGAAATATTACGTTTAACAAGGTTCGCTTTTGACCTGCAATGTTTGTTATGTGGCAAAAATATTGTTGCCAGTGAAAAACTGAAATGCACGTGCGGTTTAAAATACACTTAAGTAAATTGAGCTTTAAATCAAAGCGACACCCATTCACGGAAATTGCGTCATTTGCTGCTTTGTTACACTCTGTATTGAATATTTACATTTTACGCTGTTTTACGGTGCGACAAAATGCCTGAAAAGTTGCTAAAAGTTGGAAAATTTCATTGCGGTCCGTTACCGGAGTACAGATGGGAAAATCCGGAGCAAGAGGAAATAAAGTATATGTGTGTATGTATGTATGTGTGTATGTGTGCGCGGTCACCCCAAAATGCAGACCATGCAGACTGCAGACTGCAGACCGCAGACCGCAGACCGTGCAGACTGTGCAGACTGTGCAGACTGTGCAGACTGAGTACTTTTTTTTCTTATTCTTGTTTTCGCATTTACTTTTGACTCATATTTTTTGGTTCTGTTCAATCATATATCGGAATGTTTGTTATCCGCAGGCTGTGCAAACTCGGTGGTATGTGACTGTTGATATGTTATAGATTTTGCAAGGGAAACTACTTTTTGGCCTTAATATGCTTAAGTAAAGCTATTTTAAAATGTAGAAATAAACTTCAGTTGTAATGTAATGTCACACGTAACACGTGCATTTTCTATTCTTCGTGTACAAAGTGCAATTCCAAATGGCTGTTGGAGTGTGACTGCGATCAAGCCAAAAAAGCCTAGCACATGGAAAGATCGATCACAAAAAACCGAATAGCATTTGAAATTCTCAGCGCAGTACGGTTGCCGTGATGAATTGATGCGATGGTTAATTTATCTGTCCTTATGGCAGTTGTGTTTTTATGGCGATTTAGACTATGAGTGGTCTCTCTTTCGCTTAGTCCATCGTGCGTGACCCATAACCTCGAGGAAAAAATTTCATGCGAGCATTTTTCTTCCTCGAGGTTTACTTACAGTCATGTTCAACTAAGCGAAAGAGGGAATCAAATACTCCTAGTCTAATGGCGATTCTGTGCTTTGTGAAGCAAAAGGGTTTTGTGGGATGAGGTCGCTTAGAGTCACCGTCGTTGCTTTGTTTTATGAACCAGTTAAGATGAGAGCGAAGACTAAAAAAAATCGAAAAAAGAAAACAACAGCAAATTGGACAAAATAAATAAAACCACAAACTCGTCGAAAATTGACACAATTTGCGCCCAGAATGTATGGAAGTTTATTTTTATGCTTGATTTTAGTATATTTAGGACCAGTAAAGGGAATTTCCCATGGAAAGTCTATCAAACGNCAATTTGCGCCCAGAATGTATGGAAGTTTATTTTTATGCTTGATTTTAGTATATTTAGGACCAGTAAAGGGAATTTCCCATGGAAAGTCTATTAAACGCGTGAATCAACAGTCGGAAGTTGAGTTTGTGCCGCCTGTATGGAACGTGCACGATTAGCCAATCGGATTCATTAGGGCTAGGAATCTACCAGACCGCTGAGAAGCTGGAAGATAAAATAAATCTTTGGTAGGCTGTAAACCAAGGCTGCATGGCTGGAGTATATGGTCGCCATGTTGCACGACATCGTTGTAAGGCACACACGCCCGCGATCCATATCGCTACCCATTTTCCATTTC